CGGAATTGATGAACTTGATTCCAACGAAGAAATCAACCGACATATAATCGAGAACTTCTACTCCACAGTTCAACTTCAAGATGGGAAATTTACGTTCGCTTCCCTTGGAAAATAATAAACATTGCCTAGCGGATAACTACAATCTAGCCCTTAGCAGACTTACATCAATTATACAACATGAGGACAAAAAACCCACAATGTTGGAAAGACTACTGCGCCATAATCGACGAACAACTCCATAAAGGCTTCATTGAGGATGCCTCTGGCACCCCGACATCTGAGAACCCCCTCTATTACATACCTCATCAAGCAGTAATAAAGACATCAAGTGCTACCACCAAGACTCGCATCGTCCTAGATGCTTCATCAAAAATGAAAGGACAAATAAGCCTTAATGACGTAATCCACCAGGGCCCACTCATATTACCTAATTTATGCGGAATATTGCTCAGATCCAGACTCGGCACGAAAATAATGATCGCAGACGTAGAAAAGGCCTTCCACATGATCTACCTACAACACTCCGAAAGAGACTCTGTTCGATTCCTGTGGCTCCACAACATCGACTTACCACCTTACCCTGCAAATATCCGCATATTACGATTTTGCCGCTTACCATTCGGCATTAATGCGTCACCGTTCCTCCTTGGCATATCCATCCAATACGGCATTGAACAACAAAAACATCAAGACGCACTCAGGACCATTCACTGACACAGCGACTAGTTGAGAACCTTTACGTCGATAATGTACTGATGCTCGAGAATTCTACACCATCCCTTTTACGTACCTATCGACTTTGTAAGAAAATCTTTGCTAATATGTCCATGAACCTTCGACAATTCGTTACTAATGATACGATTTGCAATAACTTTATTGAACCACAAGACAAGTCAACTGCAACGTCTACAAAGATTCTAGGCATTCCCTGGCATAATACTACAGACACTTTATCAATTTCTTGCAAAATAACATATACTTACAGAACCTACAAAGCGTAAAATACTTCAAGCTACTCATTCAACGTTTGATCCCTTAGGCTTCCTTACTCCCTTACTATTACCTGCAAAAATTCTTTTACAAGACCTATGGAAAGAACGCCAACCCTGGGACGAACCACTATCAGACGCATACGATCAGCAGTGGAAGAAACATTTGTGACCGTGCACATGGATTTACAGCAACTCTCCCACGTCCCATCCTCATATATCACGACACATACAAACATGAACTCCATTCCTTCGTGGACGCCTCCACAAGAGCATACGCAGCAGCAGTATATCTACGTTCAGTACCTTTCTATGAACCTATTCACACCTCGCTTTTAATGGCCAGACAACGATTAGCACCCATCAATACCAAGACCCTTACTATACCACGACTGGAGCTACTTGCCCTTCTTATAGGGACTCGACTTACCAACTTCATATTACAGGAAATAAAGCTCAAAATTTCTACAATAAGGATATACAGCGACTCCCAAGTTGCCCTACATTGGGTACAATCGCATACAAAAAACGGTACGTTTGTAGACAACAGATGTACTGAAATTCGTGACAAATTAAAGTCATGGTCTCAACATATTTCCACCTACCTACACTACATCCCCTCGGATATGAACCCTGCAGACCATGCTACAAAAGGACTTACCAAAGACCAGATGACCCAGCAAAACTGGTGGTCTGGTCCATACTTTCTACGAAAGACTCAAGCACAATGGCCATACTTGCCTGAATTTCATTGGGACACCGCATCCAGTCAAGGGTCCCTAGAACAAATAGATGATACTGCTACTTCTCTATCAACTCTTTCAGACGCACCATCACCGTGTCACCTTCCACTGCTTGCTAAATTCTCCTCATTATACTTGCTAAGAAATGTAACCACACTAATTTTGAAATTTCTCAAATATTTTTTCTACGACAAACTTTCACCACAGACCCAAGCTAAGTTAACCGTGAAACTACCGGAACTATTACACATATCGTTAGACAAACCACTTATCTTTACAACAACACAAGATCTTCAAACCGCTGAACGAATCATAATTAAGCTCATGCAACGTGACCTAACCCACCAGGACCAACGTAAATGGGATAATTTGGGATTATTCAAGGACGAAAATGGGATAATACGATGTCACGGCCGTATCAAGGCAAAACACTTAGCAAGAGATGTATTAGAACCTATCTTACTTTTACCGAACTCTCACTTGACAACACTACTCGTACAAGACATCCACACGCGATGTGGACATCAAGGCACAAACGGAACATTAGCTAATCTACGCCTCAGGTATTGGATACCACAAGGCAGACAAGTAGTAAGAAAGTGCCTACGGAGATGTTTCACATGCAAACGATGGAACGGAAAACCTTATTACTACCCTGCTTCACCACCACTCCCATCTGCACGAACCCAGCCAACGCGACCTTTCTCTCACGTTGGCGTCGATCTTGCAGGCCCTTTCCCCGTCCTCGACTCCAACAAAGAAAGAGAAAAACGTTGGATTTTCCTCGCTACTTGCATGACCACTCGTGCGGTACATTTAGAAGTCGTTAATAATTTGAGCGCTTTGCAAATAGTAAATGCGTTACGACGCTTTATTTCCCGTCGAGGAAAACCACAACTCATAATATCAGATAACGCAACGAACTTTAAACTCGGTAATGACATAATCGCTACGATTGATCAGGAACTCACGTCTATATTTGATAACCACATACATGAACCTGTTCTACGAATCTTTTTAACAAATGAAGCAATACAATGGAAATTCATTACCCCCCTGTCCCCATGGAAAGGTGGTTTTTATGAGCGCCTTATCGGTCTTATGAAACTTACCCTCAAGAGAGTTATAACTCGCAAACAATGCCCTGAAACAGACTTCGTCACCATTGTAACAGAGTGTGAAGCTATGGTCAATTCACGACCATTAGCGTATGCCGGCAGCTCTGTCGATGACTCATTTATACTACGACCAATCGACTTCCTCATTCCCTACACTAATATCACCCCATTCCTTTGCCATAGGATAGACTCTGACAACGATGACTTAGACTACATACTTCAACTCTCAACCAGGACACAAGCAATCGATTATTTTCGTAAGCAACTTATATTCTTAAACAACTATGGAACACATGGCACTCTAACTACCTTCTTGAGCTACGCAACTTCCATCAACACCGCATCAAACAAAAAAGTTTTACACGAAAACATCCACGGCTTGGAGAAGTGGTACTTATCATGGACGAGGACTTACCACGAATTGACTGGCCTCTCGGCATTGTCACCAATCTCATACCCGACCAAGATGGCACTATCAGGTCCGTCACACTACGTACATCACGTTCAGAATTGGAACGATCAATTAATATGCTAATACCGCTAGAGTTGGATAATGACAACCACTCCGACACCATCAATCAACGCACACCTACCGAAAACAACACAACTGACGCGAACACCGCAACTGACATCACAACAACCGATACCGTATCCCCCACAGTTGATTCGTCACTGAACAGCGGGGACGCACTAAAACGCTCTCGACCCATGTTACCGCGCCGAGCGAAATCAAACAAGAGCTACAGTACCTACGCGACGATGACCAGTTTCGATGAGTCATCGTTCGGCAACGAGTCGTATAATACTTGGCGCCTATGGAAACCGTGGCTCACATTAACATTAGCACTAACACTACTTCACCGGTATACTCCTTACCCTCAACAGAACCCTATTTACCACTGTATCACTGGAGGAATTCACATACAATTGCCACGAGAAGTCGATCAACTTCAAGTCTTGCGGAAATGACTATTGCATACAATTACTCCAACCTGACCAAACTTAAATGTACAGTTTCCCCCAGAGATTACGCTCCACAGCTACCATATCACACTAAAATCCATCATAGCAAACACCACCCAGGCCTCTCATTGGGCCTGTCCCCCAAGTCCATTTTGCGAGCAGATTACCTGTAATTTCTGTAGTCAAATGGTTTCCAACCCAGAATGCTGGCCACGAATCGCAATCGCTGTCACGGCAACTCTTCTCTACATTATAATCACTACAACATATCTAACCCTAATAACCTTAGGAAAAGTCTTACGATTATGCCGACGCACTGCGAGCCGCTTCGCCTCTTCTACGTCAGTTTTACGAGGCTGGACACAAAAGATTAGCTTACCCCGACAGTCAAATGACAATACACCTCTACTCGAACTCGGCAAGGTGGACACCAAATGGAAGTCGACCACTCTGGTGAGACTCATTACAATCCTCGCCATTGCCAGCCCATTCGTTAAAAGCTGTCAACAAACACTGCTCATACCAACGTCAGTAATACAATGCGACCATTCCAAAACGAACTGCTCCAATCATACCACACTCATTGCTCAACTCAACCCCATGCAACCCGAACTATGCATTCAGATCCAACACGGAAATCACCGAATACACTACTTACGCATCGTCTTGGGCCCTTTGATTCTTCGATGCCGTAGAGAAACACTATATTTCACAAGAAATACGATCACAAAAGTACAATATCAAAAACGGTGTCCTCACATGGGCACTTGCACGGGTCTTAAATGCGCTAAAATTACCTTTAATACTTTAGTCAGTGAGTTACACGAAGCTAATAACTATACCGGAATAACATACTGTTCTGAATCCTGCGGCGGTCTAGGCTGCTCTTGCGGCTACCCATCCTCAGGATGTCTTTTTTACAGAATCTACCATGTCCCAGTAGACGATGACATTTACGAAGTCTTCCAATGCCCTTCGTGGTTCGAGACCATATCACTTCAGGTGGAACTTCATGATCCGAAACACCGATCATATACCTTTGAATTGAAACCTTACACCACCAAACAAATCAACAACGTCTCAATTGAAGTCACCTCATTCTCATTCACGCCAATCTCATTACAATCAACGATTTTTCACTAATAACAAGTTAACAGCCTATATCCCACAAGACACGGAATTCAGCTATGCATGCAGTTCAGACCCACGTCATACCAACCACACCCACAACCATACCAACTGTATAATCAAAGACACATGTCAACTGCAACCCTGCAGAAGACTCCGTTAGCTGCTATTGTACCAATAACAATGTCTCACGACTAGCACAATTACAGAACACCTTTCCTCTACCAATACAGGAAGGATTAGTATCCGTACAAGGCATGAACAGTGTGCCTACAATCTCTACACGAGTAGTCTCAGTACAGACAGCAATTACATTCGACCATGCCCTGCAAGAAATCACACAG